CCCTGGTAAGGGCGGTAGGCACAGGAGGACAGGGCGAGGGCCAGAGCTTTCGACCACCTGGCGCAGACTCCACAAGGGCCGAAGGCTCCTGGAGACCCCTGCACTGTCCTTCCTTCTACAGCCGAGGCTCCCGGCAGAGCAGGGTGGGAATCCCAGCTGCCCACTCAGTGGCTAACGGCAGCCCCATCCCCCGCATGGTGGGCGGAGGGGACTCTGACCCAGGGAACCAGGAATCCACTGCAGGAAGTGGCCTACCAAAGGCGAATGGGACAGGTGAGAAGGAGCCCCTTCGAGAGCAGTGGGAGCGGGGAGAGGTCGCAGGACGCCCCGCCCCTTCACCTGGTGCCCAGCACTGGCGGGGGGCCTCTGGCTCTGTAGGGTCCAGAGCCACAGCTGCCCCCAGCTTCAGCCCCAGAACCAGCGGGCCTGTGCTTGGGAGATGACAGGGTGGGTCAGCCACAGGCCGGGTCCAGCTGCTGCGCCCGAGGCTCTTCTGGGAACCCCGCAACAGCCCGGTTCCCAGCATTCCCCGCTGAGCGGGGCCCTCCTTGACGGGGTAAGAGGAGGCACAGCGCCTTCCCTGCTCGTCCCGCACAAGTTCGCTCAGCCCTCCCACGGCCCTCTGAGGTGGGCACCACCGCTCCCGCTCGTTCAGGACTCAGCGGTGCCCTCCGTACAGTGCATGGCTGTGTCTCCACATTGCCATGGCACGAGGACGGCTCCACGCCAGCCCCTGGGAAGTATGGCTCTGCCTTCGATGCTATGAATGATGGCTCTGGAGCACAGGCCGGCACAGCCAGGACTAAGCTGTGGTTTTGCACAGACTGGCCCTGAACGTGGCGCCTCCAGCCGCTGCCAGCCTCTCCGTGCCCAACTCCGCACCGGGCGGCCGCGGCCCTCGCAGACACTCAGGTCTGGCTCCTCCTCCCCGCAGTGCGGCAAGCCGTCACCCGGCCAGTCCTGGGCCACGTGGAAGACCCAGCCCCACTGGCCCCGAGGCCCGCACAGTGGGGCACAGCTGCTCTCTCCTCCTCCTCTTTCTCCCCTTTCTTCTTCCTTTGGTTCCTCCTGTGCTGGGCATTGAGCCCAGGGCTCTACTCCGGGAGATGTGCCTGCCCTTTCTCCTCACCTAATTCAAGGCAGGGTCTCACCACACCACCCAGGCCGCCTCCGCGGCCTCCTGAGTGGCTGGGATCACAGGCGTGCCCCTCCCTGTCCGGCCTGCCTTCCGGAACCTTCCTCCAGGCGGTGATTGCCGCCACAGCGGAAGGGTGGTCAGCACCGTGGCCGGGGCTGGGACAGACCCCTCCCCAGCCTGCACTGAGGAGCAGCGAGGGGAACAGAACCCAAGAAGCCAGTGGGACCACGGCCCTCCACACTGCGTCTGTCTCTGGGTCTGCGACACCTCCGCACTGTGGGGGTCGGGCCCCTCCTTCCTCTGAGCCGCGCCCAGCCCCTCCCCACCCTGACTGGCCTCTGAGGGGACGTCGGGAGCCTGTCAGTCCCTGTGTCTCCTCTCTGCTCGGTCAGCTCCCCACCCCGGCCTGAGGGGAGGGGACGAGGAGGACGGACGGGGAGAAGGCAGGATCTCTGCAGAGAGAGGAGCGCCCCGCCAGCGTTTACCGGAGGAGAACCCACCCGATGTTTGGCCCAGGGCAGACCACACATCCGAGGGTGGGCCCGAGATTCTAAGTGTGGACTCCCTACCGCGGGTTTCACGGCACTGGAACGCAGGGCAGTGCATGCTTGGGGTTTGGGGCAGGGGCGGTGGAGGCGCCCGTCCATCACAGGGGGGCAGCGTGAAAGGCCAGACACAGCGCCCACCGCTTGGCAGCGAGGAGGAGCAGCTGCCTCCGGCTCACTGTGCCCTCACCATCGAGTGCAACCCTCCTGATAGAAAAGCGAAGACCTCTGTGCCCGCACTCGGCAGGCTGAAGCCTGAGGGCTGCAAGTGGACGTCCGCCCGGAGCAGCTTCCTGACCTATCAGGAGCCTCCCTCAGAATAAAAACGGGAAAGGCTGGGGGTGCGGATCAGCGTGAAGGCCTGGGGTTCCATCTGCAGCACCGCACGCACACACACACACGCAGGGAGTGTCCTCCTGCATGTTCATCATGCTGCCTGGGCGATGATGTTGTTTTATGAGCTGGGATGGACCCAGGGCCTGGGGCCTGCTAGGAAACTGCTCTCCCGCTGAGCTGCACCAAGAGGCCACCTTGAGTGGCGACCCATCCACACCCCGCTGCTTGGACGATGACGGCTACCCGGGGACAGTGTGCAGAATGCATCCCCGTCGTGAGGCCACCCGCAACTCTGGGTGCCCGGGGGACACCGCGGCCATGGCAGCCCCTGTGGCAGTGCAGCCTCCTGAGGCGGCAGTGCTGTCCCCGGGGAGGGCTGCTGGGTGCCATCGCTGCTGGGTGGGGCCGGTCCCAGGACGGGGGAGAACAGCCGTAAGAGGCACGAGAGAGCAAGGCTGGAATCCCATCCCCGCCCTCGCCTTTGCCAGGCTTTGGTAGAAATCGAGCGGATTCTATGAAAATCAAAGCAGTGGAAAAGGCCAGGACAACCTTAAACAAAAGGAATCTCGAGGACCTGCACTGCCAGAGCTGGGGCCACAGAGCTACTGCTAAGCCCTGCGGTGCTGGGTAAGATGGGGACACACGGGTTCCGAGCCTAGACACAGACCCACGCAAAGGCGGCTGACTTTCAGCAAAATTGCTCACAGCTCGTGGGGGTGGGAAGGGAAGGTTTTCGAAAGGAATGCTTCTGAGGCACCTGGGTTTTCATAAGGGGGAAAAAATTAATCCTGACCTCTGCTTTACTCCAAGCACCAAGATTAATTTGGAATGGATCACAGGCTTAACTTCTAAGGCTAAATGGTAGAGCTCCCAGGAGAATGAAAAGAATACTCTCATGACCTGAAGTAAGCAAAAAACCAAACATAAACAAACAAGCAAAAAAGCAGTGCGTGAGGCAGGTGTAAAAAGCGCCAACCGGGGGGCCGGGGATTTAGCTCAGCGGAACAGCGCCTGCCTGGCAAGCGCAAGGTCGTGAGTTCAATTCCCAGTACCCGAGGAAAAAAACCAAAAACCAAAATAAATAAATTTAAAAAAGCACCAACCACAAGGGGAAGAATGTGCACCAGGAACTGAAAGGGGTCTTGTGCCGGCACAAGAAAGGCGCTGGTTCCGGGTTCCACTCCACACCGGACACCCCACCGAGCCCCAAGAGAGCCCGAGAGCTCTCTGCACATGGGTGTGGGAAAGAAACGGCACTCCATGCCGGGGAGGAGCTCTGAAGAGCTCCCGGGAACACAGGAGCCAGGCCGAAAGCCCCAGGGGCAAGGGAACAGACCATTGAGAAACCTGCAGAGGTGCGGGGAGAGCTCTGCACACCGCCAGAGCTCCCACGGGGGCCGCTGAGCCCTTGGACAAACGACGGGGCGGATTTGAAGAGGGCTGTCTCCAAGTACAGCACCCCATCCTTGCCCCTGTCCCAGGTCTCACCTTCTCTGGCCAAGGCCTGTGGGCCCAGGAGCGGCCCGGCATGGCGGCCATGGAGGCCCAGCTGCCTGCCTGCACTGACACCAGGGTCACTGTCTCCAGGGAGACAGCACCCAAATGTCCAGCTTGACCTCAGGAGGCCTGAGGAGTGAGTCTGAGGACTCCCTAGGACACAGGCAGCCCTGAGGTGGAGGCAGGCCTTGGGAGACCCTCACACTTGGGCACTGTGCCCCTGACCTCAGGGCAGGGTGGAAGGCTTCATTCGTGCTATCCAGCGTGACAGGATTTCACTTTTTAACGCCTGAAGGGTCTTCCAGGTGTAGGTGGACACGGGTTATTTCTATTTCTTGGCTACTCTGAAAAGCTCAAAATAAACACAGGAATGCAGATTTCTCTTCAGTATGCTGACTGCATTTCTTTTGAGCGCCCAGTAGCAGGACTTCTGGATCATACAGTGGCGGTGCCAGTCTGCAGGGCTCTCTGTTCTTCACAGAGAGAGGGTGCGGCCAGAAGAGAGGTGCTGGGGGAGTCGCAGGTCCTGTTCTGGAAGTGCAGACGGCCGAATGCTCAGCGCTTCGAGCTGTGCCTTCTAGCAAGCCTTGAGGTCTGTCTACACCTGACACCCCACCCCTAAGTGGGGCGATCTAGGACCTACCCCGAAGCGTTGTTATGCAATAGTGTTTGTCAGGAGCCCAGCGCACGGCCATCTTAGCGTGGTCGTGCAGGAGGACAAAGCAGGGCGCTCCGTGCTTGCCTCAGGAAGACCCACATTGCCCGCCTGTGCCCTGCTAGTCCGCGGGTCCTGCATCTGCCACTCTTCCTGCCCACTGTCCTTCCCGCTGCTCTGCCCAGCAAGCGTGGGAGCCTCACTCCACCCTTAGGCTGCAGACCACCTTGCCGTGCCTTCTGCCCGCCTTGCCTTTGGCTTGCCTCTCTAGCTCTGCCTGGTGCCCTCCGCCTCCATAGCCTTGTGTTTGGTTCGAAGTTTCAGGAGGAGGCCGGTGGGAGGTGCAGGGCCTGTGCCCTTCAGAGCGGGCGGGTGATGGCACCGAGTGTCCGTCAGTGAGCAAATCCGTGGTCCGGCACCATACACGCGGGGTCTAACCTCTCCTGGGATCGCTGGCGATCCTGTCCTTAGCCCTCTGGGTGGGGGGGGCCCTTAGTTTCTGTGAGTGTAAAGAAGGGCAGGAAGTGCGAGCCCCACATTCCCATCACCGCTGCCTTCCTGCCTACATGCAGGCAGGGGAGTCCGCAGGTCTCCAGGGAGGGGTCTCCACCCCAGTACCCCGGATGCGTTAGAGCACCTAGAACAAACACTCAGAGCTGGAAGTTTCCACCGCCAGGTTTCTCACCTAGAAAGCCACGAGGACTGGGGGCAGGAGCTGCGATTGGAGCAGAAATTTGGCCTGACCCACCCTTGCCTGCGGGCCCACATTCCTGAGCTCTGTGGTGGCAGGAATGACAATTAATACAGCTAATGATTAATCCCCGAGAGCACCCAGAAGCCCAGGCCCGGGCGGGGCCCTTGCTCCCCTCTCCCTTCCCCTCTGGGGGGAACCAGCCCCTCTCCCCTCGCCTGCTGACCAGGGGCCTGGGTGGGGCACGGAGCTGAAGAAGGGGACCTCCCTCCACGTTCCCCAAGAGCCCAGGAAAGGCCTCTCCTTGGAGGGAGAACCGGAACATCCGGCTGCCCGACCCCGCTCCCCTTCCCCCAGCACTGGCGCTGAGGACTGAGGCTCAGGAGAGGCCACAGGACCCTGACATCCTTTCCCCGCCGGAGCCCCCAGGGTCCACCATGCGGTGCCCGCTGCCCCTCCTCCTCCTCCTGGCCCACCTGGGCAGCTTGAGAGGAACAGGTGAGGGCTGCAGGGTGCACACCCGGGCCTCGGGCGAGGAGAAGCCAGGAAGGGTGGGCTCCCTGGCCTCTGAGAGCGCTGGCCGGGCGGTGAGGGCCGGGCTGAACCCCTGCCCAGAGAGGCTCCGGGGAGGAGGCGGACGCCTGTCCCTGTCTGGTCCTGAGCCACACTTTCTCATGCCCAGGGCCAGGGCCGAGCCTGACTCTGCAGGTGAAGCTGAAGGGGGCTCCTCAGGCCAGCGCCCCCAGTGACTCCAGCCTCCTGGAACTGCTCAGAGAGGTAGCTCTCGGGAGGGGGCAGGTGGGGCTGCTTTCTGAGTCATCTGGGTCTGATTCCAGGGCGGCAGGCCATCCCCAGGGCGTGAGGGAGGAACCTGCCTGTGCCTCACCCTCCACCCCTCTGTCCCCCAGCTCTGCCTGCTCCTGCACCTCCCATCGGGGGCCAGCGTTACCCTCCATTCCAAGGGACCCCACCACCACATCTGCAAAGCCTGAGAGCAGCTGCACCCGCGCTGGCTGGGCCCTGCCGTCTTCAGCAGGCCCTGCCGCGTCAGTAAACACGCTGGGCTGTTCGGGCCGGGGTTGGGGGGCTGTGGGCACAGAGCCAGCGGGAACAGTGACCTGGCTGTCCCAGCCTGTGAGCAGGGGCCTAGGGGCGGGCGTCAACACCACAGCTGCAGGCCTACAGGAAACACACACACACACACACACACACACACAGACTTTTCCACCTGAGGCCTTCAGACAACCCCAATAAAGGAAAGTAAGTTATTAGATTCCTGCTCTGCCCCAGACTGGTGCCCTCCCACTCTGGCGATGCTGACTGTAGCGGAACAGGTATCCTTGTCCCGTTCTGCAGCTGAGGAACCAAGAAATGGAGAGGTCAGGCGCTAAGCACAGGCGCTAAGCCTTCGTTTGCGCAAGATTTCCTGACCTTAGCTGGGACGCTAGGGAGTCAGGAACCCTGGACGGGAACGGGAACCCTGACAGAAGAGAGCACCGAGCACGCTGTCCTCAGCCCGGGGTTTACACGGGCAGGCGGGGTGCCGAGCAGGGCGGGCCAGCTCAGGAGCAGCTGTGCGAGGTGGCCAGGCTGGCCCAGGGAGAGCGGGAGCTCAGCATGTCCCCACTGGCGTGTGACACGCTCACAAAGGCTTGTGTGTGCGCCTAGGGAGGGTTTACCCGCTCCAAGCCGCCCTGTCCTCATACGCAAGACAGACATTGCCGGCGCCTGTGCCCTGGCCTGCCGTGGGGCCGAGGGCTAAGCCGTGGGGAGACCTGCGGAGGGTGGAACCCACCCCACCCTGACACCTCACTTCAAGGCTACTCCAGCTTCTCTTCAGCTCTCAGGACAGGCCTGCACCCGGCCCTGCCACGCGGGGCCTTGAGAGGACATCCCTGCCCTCCCCGCCCCCAGCCACTATGACCACCACAGCACAGGAAAGCCGACTCCCGGGAGGCAGAGCTCACCCCTGACGAGGAGGGCCCAGGAGTCAGGACAGGGAAGCAAAAAGAGAAGCCCGTCTGCTTCCCTCTGCCACTGTCCGGACACTCAGCCTCCGGTAGTCGGAGAGCTCCGACGGAAACCTTGTCCACAGCTTGCCCCTGGCGGGCACCCGTGAGCAAACCACCGCCTTGGGTCGGGCACAGGTGCCCCTGACAAGCGGGGAAGGGGATGTCTGAATCCTCCAACGGCTGGCCAAGCAGAAAAGGAACCGCTCCTCAGCCTGGTCCCCAGAGCTTAGTACCATGACCCTGAACATGGTGTCCGGACTCCGAGAACCGACTTCCCTGATGGGGCGGGGCGGGGCGGAGCAGAGCGGGCAGAGCGCAGGTGCCCCGGCCTTCCCCCTCCTGGACAGGCACAAGGTCTCGGCTGGCGCAGGCTGGCGCATCTCCGCTCCCCGCAGCCCCGTGTGACTGCCCCACAGCCTGCGAGTAGGAAGGACGCACCAGTCCCTGGGAACAACTGTGGAAGGGGAAGCAGCGTCTCCCTCCCAGGAAAAACCCAGTTCCTAAAACAGCCCACAAGGTCTCACCACCTCCCGACAGAATGCTGTGACAACAGCAATGCCTTACAACCTGCTGGCCAATGGGCCGCCCCTGCCCGTGTGGCCGCCAACACCTGGAACGTGGCTGGCGTGGCTGAGGAGCTGAACGTCTCCTGTGTTTCACGTTATTGCTGTAGGCAGTCAACCGGTCCGAAGCCCTCCCTCCTCCCGCCGCACCAGCTCCCCGACCTCTCCTCCTGGTGCCCCTTCACCGTTCTGGCCTGGGCGGTGCCGCCTCGCTGCTTGGAGTGTCCTCGGATGCCCCCTGGTGTTGCTCTGGCTTTTCACGTCACCTGGAATACGTTTCTCCCAGACATGCACACGGCTAGTTCCTGCACCTCCCACAGGTCCTTGCTCACCTCACCTTCTAGGGTCTGCACAGACCCCCGGGTAATACGTAATCTGCCCCGACACACACACACATACAATCCCCTTACCATGCGCTACCCTCCCTGCAACCTTCAAACATACTAACTTACACGCATTGCTCCCCTGCTGCCCCTGCCAGGATAAAAGCTCCAGGGCAGAGATCTCTGTCTCCTTTGCTGATGATCCCTATGTCCAAAGAGGACCCAGCACAGAGCGGGTGCTCCAGAAACACTCACTGAACCCAGGGAAAAGGAGGACGGCCCCGCCCTCCCCCACCCCTCCCCCTCACGTCCTCTTCCCGGGGGCAAAGCACAGACCCAGCGACGCAGACTGGACCAACGTCGGGGAAACGGATCAGACTGGCAGGGAAACCAATGCATGCTGCCCGCTTGACCCACCCAGTGGGGCAGTTTGTGCCGCCCAGCGGGACGGGCATGGTACACCACTGGTGTGCAGGTCAGCAGGGACAGAAAATGTTCCGATCTGAGCCACCCACAGTGAGACATACGAATTGCCCTTCGTGAACACGCTAAAAGTGCGGGCCCCTGTGGCAGAGCCCTTCCTGTTCGTGCCAGCAATAGGAAGCGCCACCTTGCGAAGCCGCCGTCACTGTGAAGTCTGCCTGCCACAGCCAGGCAGGGCCTGCAGCCGAGCGGGCAACCGGTTAAGTCCCCGCTGAGGCCGTGACAGCTGCTCCCCTCCTCTGAGCACAGGCAAGGCTGCCGCCTGCTGAGGCTCTGGGCAGGATCACACGGCTTCGTTCCTCTGACCAAGGGCAACGCAGGACAGGCTCACCACACACTGTCACATGTGTGCCTTGGGTGCCAAAGGGCCAGGCCCTGCACTCCAAGACAAGATGAGCATGTGGGGAGTGGCGGCCTGCAGCGCATGGCACTCGGGGCCAGCGTGTCGCGCTGGCGCTTGGGCCTCAGATCACGGAGGGGCGCACAACCCCCCATGCAGCCTGCAGCCCTTCCCAGCATCTCTGGGGACAGGTCAAGGAGCATGGAGCCCTGCACCTGGGGAGCGGAGAGGGGCCAGGGCTGCTGGGCACTGCAGGAAGCAGGTGGAGAAGCCCTGGTCCCCTGACTCCAGCGAGGCAGGCACAGCCCAGCACCCGCACTGCCGCGTGGCCTGGGGCCGAGAGGAGCCTTCCTCCTTTCCAGACTGAGCCCTCCCAGAACCATGGAGTGGCAAGAGAGCAGCACCCAGGACCACCGGTACACATGCCAGGAATCGTATGTTTATCCCAGTCTCCGCATTTCCAACATCCGGGTGGGCCCGACGCGGAAGAGGCCGGCAGACAACACAGGCAGGCCCCGGCATAGTGACCAGTCCTGCGTGCTTCTGCACCCACAGAACAAGGAAGGCGGCCCCGCCCTGAGGTCTCTGAGCCCCTTGAAGCAGCGGACAGCTGACGATCGCTGTCCTCACAGTTGGGTCTGAGCCAGAGCTCAGCGCTCCCCGGGGCTTGGTGACTCGTCCATCAGCTGCCGCAGGTGTGATGCCGCCTGCTCCAGCTTGAACAGCTCCAGCCGGAGGGAGGAGAGCTAGAGCAGAGACGAGGGTGAGGGCCGGGTCTGAGCTCCCCGCCCAGCCCACGCGCCCTCAGGGGCAAGGCTCACAGCGTGGCCTCCGGAGCCTCACCCTTTGCAGCCTCTGCGTCTCTGCCTCCGCTTCTGACAGCGTCCCGGAAGTGAGGCCATCCAGCTGCTTCTGCAACTTGTGCCTTCGGGCAGCCAGCAGGGGGAGCTGGGCCTGGGGGTCCACCAGGCCCTAGGGACCATGTGGAAAAGCTAAGCCGTCTCCACCTCCACCCAAGGCCCCTTCCCCAGCCCTGCCTCCTGCCCTGCATCCCTCTCAGACCCTGGTCCCTTCCAATCACCTGTATCTCCATGTAGACCTGAGCGCTGTCACTGACAGGGGCCTGGGCCCAGCCCGAGGGAGCCGCTACCCCTGGGAGCAGGAGGCTCACAGCCCCACAGCGGCCGAGGGTGCCCAGGGGCTCCAGGAAGGCCTGGAAGAGGTCCCGCTCCTCTGGCTCCGAGCTCTGCAGCAGCACTGGGGACAAGGGAGGGCGTGAGGCAGAGAGGGACAGCCAGGGCCCAGGCGTCAGCCGCCATCCTGCACCGGCCGGGGGCCTGCCCTCCAGCCTGCCCCTCCTTAGCAGCCCCTTCTTCCTGAGGACGCGCAGGTCCCTCACCTCGGGGCCAGGCCTTGGTGAGCTGGTAGGTGTTCCGGAGAGCCCGCAGCACCTGCGCAGCCTCCTGGACCCGGGAGAAGCGCCACTCCAGCTCGGGCTGGCACCAGTGCTCCTGCCAAAGGGGACCCGCAGTCGGGAAAGGGGACCCTGGGGACCCACTCAACCTCCTGGGCCTATCCCCAGCCCATCCAAGCCTCAGGCCCTGGGACAACAGATCTGCCCTCAGCAGCACACCCGACGCAGGAACACGGCCACGCCAAGCAGCCAGCTAAGAAGGCAGAGAAGACGCTGGCCAACGTGTCTAGCGATTCTGCCTGGAGAAGACCATGAACTAAAGCCAAGTCAGAATTTAAGTACTGCTCGCAAGGCACAAAGCCAAGACTCAAGGAAACTTACTTAAACTCCAACTGACTTTTGGGTGAGTGTGTAACATTTATCCTTGTGAGGTTATCAAAGCTCCCCTGAGATTCTGGGGGCACTGTGTACTAACTCCCTGAACCTTCATCGCTACTGAGACTTTTACTATTGCTGTTCCTATCTTAAAGATGGAGGAAACTGAGGCACAGTCATGTGGCCAGGACTAGCAGTCTAGTAAGAGCCCAGCTCCTGCCCACTATGCTATTGCTGCCCCAGACCCTGTGACCTGGACCTGCAGAACAAGCCCTCTTCCGGGCTCCAGTCCGGGAGACCACGGCAGCGTGGACGGCAGCAGCATGGCCGCTCCCGACCCAGGCCCTGCACTGAGACTCACCAGGCTGCGGGCAGCGGGGTAGGGCGCGACACAGATGCTGGGGGCGGGGGGCCCGCCGGGCCTGTGGGGCAGCCTCTGCCAGAGCTCCTCGGCCAGGAAGGGCATCAGGGGGGCGAGGAGACGGAGCCCGACGTCTGCGCAGGCGAACAGGACCTGAGGAGGCTCTGGGGGGCGGGGCGTGCGGGCCAGCACCGGCTTCACGGCCTCCTGTGGGGCACTGGGGGTCAGGACACGGCCCACCGCGACCGTCCCACTGCCACAGTCCCAGTGGGGGCAGCAAAGGCCAGTTCCGAGAGAGGCAGGGAAGCCCCCGGCACATCTGGGCCACCGGCTGTCCCAGGACACGTGTCCCACGCACGGGAGATGGGGAAGCCCAGGGCGGCCGTTCTCGGGTGGGTGAGAACGAGACCCCATGGGGCTGCAGCCTGGGGAAACGCAGGGTTCTGCTTCTCACCAGGGACCAGTTTCAGCAGAACTGAGAAACAGCGAGCCAGGCAGCACCAGCACCGCCGGGGACATGAAAGATGTCGCTCTTCATGCCCACCCCACCAGAAGGGCCACACTAGACACGCCGGGCACATGTGGTCAGCAAGCCCCCGGCGACTCTGATCCTCAGGAGAACCCCATTTGTAGCCCCTCAGCATGCAGCCTACCCAGGGCCTCGCTGCAACTACAGGGACTGAGCGCCCCCTGCTTCTGAGCCTGGTGGGAGACTTTTCTGGAAGTTGCCCCTCCCTCGTCTGGCCAGGTGATAGACAGGCACCAGCCCCAGGAAGAGGGCACCAGGGCATCCCTGCGCTTTGCTTGCCTAGCTGGGGGCGGTCAGGGACGCGCTAACTCCGGAGCTCTCGGGCACAGCTCGGATTTGGAGAACAGGCAGCTGCCCGAGTGCGGGACGGAAACGCCCAGCCTCACCAGCCACTCACCAGGTAGACATCGCAGAGGCTGTGCAGCCAGAAGTGGTGCAGGGTGCGGGTGACGAGCGAGAGCTCCTGGGCGAGGAAGCCGCGCTCACACTCGTGGGCAGCCCGGGCCAGGCAGCTCAGGATCCAGGCATCCACGGGCGAGGAGGGGGACAGCTGCAGTCAGCGGGGGCGTCAGGGCCCAGCCAGCTGCGACCTGCTTGCCTGCCTCCTGGCCCCCGACCCTCGACACGTGACCAACAGCTCCCAGCACCAGCTCCCAGCACCAGCTCCCAGCACCAGCTCCCAGCACCAGCTGTCTCTCTCACCTCTTCTGGGGGCAGGGGTACAAAGTTCTCCCCCAGGGCACTGAGGATAAAGCGCAGGGCATTCCAGATCTTGTTGCAGAACCGGCGGCAGCTCAAGACCTCAGGGACAGACAGGTGCAGGTCGCCCCCTGTAGGGGGAGGAGAGAAAGCACGCACTCTAACGGCCGAAGCCTGGAATCGCACCACCTTCAAGGCGGCCCACTGCCCTCAGCTCCTTGGTGGGCTTACCCTGCACTCCATGGGAGCACAGTGTGAATCTCAGGGCGTCTGTTCCACACTCGGGGATCCCGTGAGGGAAGTCCTTTTTCTGCAACCGAGGAAGAGGGCCAGATGTCTACCCAGCTGCTGCAAGGGAAATTGGGAGGTGGGGGCTCGAGCGGGATTTCCGGATGGCGGCTACATCTCACCTGGGCTGCGGCTGCGAGGGCCAGCTCCGCGGGGTCCAGGTTCCCAGCTCGCAGCTTCGCCTGCAGCTCCTGGGTGGGTGAGGAGTGACGCCGCTGCCCCTCACCCCTCTCCCTCCCAGCCGGCTCTGCTCCTCAGACGGCCCCAAGCCTGGGGCCCGGCCCTCACCTGCAGCTCCACCCCGTGGATGATGTCCCTCGGGTCCAGCACATTCCCCAGGGACTTGCTCATCTTCCGGCCCTGCCCGTCCCGAACCATGGAATGGAGGAGCACCTGGGGACGCAGGGGGCAGCAGACAGCTGGGGCCTCTCACGGGGCTTGGGGCGGAGGTGAGTCAGGAAAAGGAGGCACAGAGGTCGAGGACAGGCGCAGGGCCCCTGGAGGGCTGTTACCTTGCTGAAGGGGAGCTGGCCCGTGAGCTGGGTCCCCAGCATGACCATGCGGCCCACCCAGAACAGCAGGAGGTCACTGCCAGTTTCCAAAAGTGACAGCGGGTAGAAACGCACAAGGTCTGAGGTCTGCGAGGAAGAGGCGGCAATAAGGGACCCGACGTCAGCCCCTTGGATCTGGGGGCCCCGATGACCACCTCCCCCACCTTCCCCCTCAACCGCCTCACCTCTCGAGGCCAGCCCAGGGCAGAGAAAGGGAAAAGAGCCGAAGAGAACCACGTGTCCAGGACATCCGGGTCTGATGATGAGAACAGGGGCTGGACGACTGAGCCTGGCGTCCAGCACCTCAGACAGGGACTGGGGACGACCGTGCCTTGGCATCCAGCACCTCAGACACAACCCTCCTGGAGACAAGGGCTCCCTGCTCCCTCTGGGTTTCCGGACCCCACCTTCTCCCCAAGTCACTGCCCCCCTCAAAGATGCTGCCTGCCCCTGCCAGCTCCACACGCACCCCTCTCCAGGGTCAGCTCGGTCCCTGGCCTTCCGGTCAGCGCTGCTGCGGCCTCTCTGGCCTCGGCCTCTGACCGCCCAACCACCCAACAGTCCTCCTTGCCGCCCTGGAAAATTAAGGAGTGACACAGTGAGGAGGAAGCCCAGCCACAGGTGTCAGGCAGCCTCTGAGTCTGTCTCCTGTGGTCTCAGAGGCCGGCCCTCTGGGAGGGAGGGGAAGACACTCGGGCAGGAGCCTTCGCCACACAGCCGGTGACCAGGCCAAGGCGGGGAACAGGACAGGCAGGAGCCGGGACAGGCCCTGCCGCTCTCCAAATCCCCCACCCCGGCTTCCCGCCACCAACCTTGGTGCGCTCCCCGACGACCAGGTAGGCGGGAATCCGATGGCCCCACCACAGCTGCCGGGAGATGCACCAGTCCCTGCCGAGACGACACGAGTGACACTCGGAACCCAGCAGCACCCTCGCACCTGGCAGACCCTGCCCTCACCCTTACCCGATGTGGGCAAACCAGTGCTGCCAGCTCTTCTGGTGGAAGGAGGGACGGAGCTCCAGGGCCCCCGATGCCGCGGCCTGCAGGGACAGGGGGTGCTGCCAGTGCCCCCGCGTCTGCACGCCTGCACCTTTTGGGATGAGGTGCGGGGCCTTGAGGGGGCTCCAAACCCCGAGAGGACCGCAAAAGCTTCCTGAGAGGATCCTGAGCTGGAGTGAGGGCATGGAAGCCCTCGGCAGCCCTGCCCCCAGCCCACACTGCGGCCCTCCACTGCCGCGGGAGGGAGTGCCGGGCACCTGCTCCTCCTTCCCGACGCCCGGGCTCCGCCACCCCAGGCCCAGTCCCTCCCTGTGTTGAGGCCTCACCTTGGCAGCCCGGTCCCCCATTTCCTGGCAGCGGACAAACCACTGGCTCTTCAGCAGGTACTCGACCACATCCCCGGAGCGGCTGAGGGGAGCCAGGGTCAGTCCCTGCTCCTCAGGACTCTGCTCCCCGTACCCTCAGCACCCGGCAGGCAGCGACGGAACCGACAGAGCCCGCCTGCATCCTGACGCGGGCGGCCGAGCCCTCCCTCTCCCCTTCCGAGTGGCCCTCAGGAAAGAAGCTAAACCGGGCTACCTGCACATGGGCAGCACCGTGGGGTGGTCCCGGAGGCCCCGGAACAGGCCCTGTTCCCTCAGCGCCAGCACAATCTTCTCTCGGGCCACGAATCGGTGCACGCCCTGGGGGAGGCGGTGAGAGGAAGGCGTAGGCTCCGGGGGACAAGAAAGGGTGTGGGGGCAGGGCAGAGGTTGCCCCGAGGATGGGGTGACCCAGGCGCGTCCCACCTGCAGCCAGTCCCCGCAGGCCGAGGCCATGGTCCCATCCTCCGCAATGACACTAACGGGGCGCAGGCCGTGTCGCGCTCCCATCTCGGCGTCGGCAGGACTGTGAGCCGGTGTCACCTTCACTGCCCCTGGGGTTACGAGGACAGTGAGGTGCGCAGGGCCCGACCCTGGCTTTCCGGGTGTGTGAGCGCCCCGCTGCCCGCGTCTCCGGGTCCGCTCCCGTTCCCTCCCCATGGTCCTCGCCCTCCCCCGCAGTCCTGACCGCTCACCTGTGCCCACGTGCGGCTGAACAGCAGTGTCCGTGATGAGGGGGAGAAGCTGCCCCGTCAAGGGGTGACGAAGCCGCCGCCCATGGAAACGCTGAAGGAAGGGAGAGGGGTCAGGGGCGGCCACGGGGGTGGGAGGGTCTGGGGTACGGGAACCCCAGCAGCAGAGTGGAACCAGAAGGTAAAGGGCAAGAGGAAGGTGAGCTGACTTCTCCTCAGCGGGCTCTGGGCCCAGAGTCAGGTTTGGTCTCTGCACAATCAACCCACACTGCCAGGGACATTCGGGGAGTACACGTACAACCGCAGCCCTCGACGGTATGTGAACACGTCTGCGGCGCGTACAGAAACAGGCCTGGCTGCATCTGGTCAACCGCTGAGCCAGAGAAAACGCAAAACATGAAGAAGGGGCTGCCAGGCACGCCGCGCACGCCCGTAACGCCAGCCTCGGTTTTAGCACATGCGCTGCCGAAGCGAGCACGACCCCGGCACTCAGGGCTGCGAGCTCGAGGCCAGGCTGGGCTGCACAGGGAGCTCAAGGCCAGCCTGGAGGCAGGGGGAGAGCCTGTCTCAAAAAAAAAAGAAGAAGCGAAGAAAGTTAAAACCACTGCAGAGCCGGACTGAGAGAAGTTTTAGAACATGGAGCAGGAGCCAGGGAGGAGAAGCCAGCTCCGTACCAGGAAGGAAGAGTGAGGCTGGGGTTCGGGCAGCACAATGCATTAATTACCGTGTAGCGGGAGTCGTCGGGGTGAACGGCCACAGCCACGTCGCCAGGCAGCGTCTCCGGCCTCGTGGTTCCCACCACAACTTCCGCATCTGAAACCAACACTCGAGCATCTATAGCTGGTCACCACGCTTGCACCTCACCCTGACACGGCCAAGGCCGGGAGAACCGGAAGCAGGAAGGGCAGGGGCAGCCACGGTGCAGCGGCGGGGAGGGAAAGCCAGGGCCCGAGGCCTGAGCGGCGTCAGGGCACAGGGCAGCTCAGCAGCTTGCACAGGGGCGGGGACAGCGACAGTGGAACCCCGCCGGTGCCGAGGACCCGGGTCCTCAGGGTCCTTGTCCCAAGTGCTCTCCGCATGCGCAGGGCAACCCCGACCTCCGCTACGTGAGACTTCGGGAACCACTCTGCTCCTCTCTCTTGCCCTCCAAACTGTGGAACACTTCTCCTGGGTAGAAGGCACTGTCCAATTTCACTAAGCTCCCAAGGGCAGGCCAACAACCCCAGGCCCCCACGGGGAGCCCCACACTATGTACACACCATCCAGGTTCCCTCGGGAGACACCCCCGCAGCCTGAGAAATCACAGGGAGGGGTCAGCGGGTGGCCCTGCCGTGGACCACACTCACCAGGCTCTCCATCCACCGGAAAGGCGACAGAAAGGAGGAGCCCAAAAGACACGGGGCTGGGGCAGCCCGGCAGCTGCAGCTCCGTACGGCCAGACAGGGCCCGGCTCTCCACCTGCGGGGCCACGGAGACGGTCAGAGCCACTGCTCCGCGGAGCTCACAGAGGGCAGCACTGCCACCCATCTGAGCACCCTGACCGCCCTGCGTTCAGAGGACTCAGGAGCCACACACGCACGCACGCACACACACACACACACACCACCATTCCCTTCAGCCAACTTGTATGGAGTGCAGTTACGGTAAACATTCACTCAGAACGTAAGGCACTGTGCTGAGCTCCCGACACAAATCCTCCCTTCGACTTCACGACACCCACGAGGCGGGCACTCCGTCACTTCCCACCGACAGGTTTGAGGAAGTGGAGGTAGAAGAGTCTGAACGGCCTTGGGAAAGTTTCACAGCTGTTAGTGACAGCGCTGGGACTGGAACCCAGCAGGCCGGGCCCCAGAGCCTGAGATCCCACCCGGGCTGCGCGGCCTCGGCTCCCACACGCCAGCCCTTCTCTACTCACCTCAACGTCCGAGATGGCTGATCGCAGAGCGCACGACCAGTTGACGAGCTGGCGGCTCCGGTACAGCAATCCCGCGTCGTAGAGTCTCACAAAAGCCTCGGTCACGGCCACTGAGGAGGCCTAGAAGCAGCTGAGGGTCCACATCTAAAGCCCCTTCTCAGCCCTACCTCGAGCCCTGGAGGACCCCCGTCACTCCCACCCACCCTTTCCCAAGACACCCAATAATCCCCTCCCAGCCAGATCTCTAACACCCAACACCCACAGGGCCCCTGGCCCGGAACACTCACAGCATCCATGGTAAAACACTCTCGATCCCAGTCCAGGGAGGAGCCCAGGGCACGCAGCTGCTCACAAATTTCTCCTCCTTTCCTGCACCCGGAGGGAGTCCTGTCAGCAAACGCATCCCCAGCACCTCCCATATCCCAGTCCCAGTGACGCCCACAGTGCCCCGTGCTGGAGGAAAATGAAGTGCATATGGCACTGGTCCAGCTTCTAGAAGCTGATGGAGGCAGACAGAAAGACCCAGTCGGGGCTCTCTAGGACATCAGAAGGAGCGTGAGCTTCTACAGGAACGGAGGGGCGGCAGCCACTTTGGGGACACTCCCTGAAAGAGGCGAAGAGGGGACAGCACGCACTGACAGGCCTGGAGGCATGAGGGTAACTTTATGGGACCTGGAAGAAAGGAAGGCTTCAGTGGGTGAGGTGACAAAATCTAAGCAAGGAAAATGAGACAAGGAAATTAAGAAAGGTAAGAACAGAAATAAATACATACTCACATGTACATATGCGCACATATATCTACATGCATAAATGTGCACGTTCTGACGCACACATAGGACACACGTGTGTGCACACGCACACACAGACTTGGACGGTGAAGCCACGCCCACACCCAGCCAATTCCTCACCACGGATTCTGTGCCCTGGCCACCTGCCAACTGTGAGCCAGTATTGCATTTTGTTTCCCCTTGCCATGGTGCAGCAGAGGTGCCCACAAACCAACTGACCTGACTGTGGGTGAGGACAATGTCCCAGGAGAAGGGCTAAGTGCCACAGACTCGGCAGCTCCAGGGAGAAACGACAGGCCAGCAGCACTAGGCCTGAGAAGAGGCCACGGCCATTGTGAACTACAGAAACAGCGTGGGGTTTCACTCGGAAAGTGACTCCTTCACAGCATGCCAGGGCTGGAGAGGAAGTGCAGCGCAGCACCCAGCGTGCTAGAGAGGATGTAACCAGGAGCCGCTACAGGGAGGGCTCACTGCTTAGGCCTGAGCCACAGAACAGGTACAACTTCACTTCAGGGTCTCCAGCGTTACCCTGCCACAGTGACTGGGAGAGAGACAGTCACAGAGAAGGGGCAGGCTAGACGCAGGCCCCCGAGAAGTTCAAGCTCAGGCTAGGACAGCACAAGGCCACCCTCTGCACAGTGAGAAGCCAGGCCTGGCAATGAAGCTTTCAGAAGTGGCTGGATCCAAACATGCTGGCCCTGAGTGAAGCGGTCTGCCTGAACCCCGCCCCGCTGAGAACAGCAGAGAACAGCGCTGTGACGGCTTTTCCCATCTACCAGCGTGAGCAAGGACCCCTCAGCAAGGACAGCCGCCACAGTCTGGGCGTAGGACACAGGGGGCTGTGGACGGGGAGGAGGACCTCACAAAGCTACACACCCTACAGCCAGCTGGAGAAAACGTGACTTGGCTGGATTTTAAGACTGCAGATCCCAGAAAAAAAATTGATTCAAACATGTACAGGAATTGTTTTTATTGAACTCAATTTTTTTCTTTTTCTTCTTTAATTTTTGGGGAAGTTTAGTTTTTTCCCTCTTTTTTCTTTGTCCCTTTTTTTTTTTTTTTTTGGTTTTTTCCAGTACTGGAAATCAAACTTACGAACTCACGCTTGCCAGGCAGGCACTGTGCCGCTGAGCTAAATCCCCAGCCCCTTCTCCCTTCTTTTCCTTCTAATATTTCTTTTTTCTCTTAATTTCCTCTCTCCTTTTTTTCCCTTCATTTTTTTGTTCTTTCCTGTCACTTTTATCTAGTTCTATTAATTTCTTTTACACCTTAAAAGCATCCTTTATCTCACTTTGTTCTCTTCTGTCTCATCTTCCAGTGATTAATTTTTCCAATTACCTAAGTAGATAACAAACATAAGAAAACAATCAGTGAGTTTACAGAAGACCCCACTAAAAAGTTAGGCAAGCTACAGAAAATGATTTTTAAGAAATGACAGTTTAGCCAAAAATTACAGTCACTGAACAGGTACCAAACAGAAACCCAGGAGATTAAAATATTCTACTTGAAGTATGGACAGCAAAGTGAGAATGCTGGGACAGAATGGCAGAACTAGAAGATAACACTGATACGGCTAATGTGACCAGTTATTCAGCAGTGCCTTAAAAACAGTAAGAGAACATAAAAATGGATCCAACAGCTACTAGACGACACAAAGAAAGCTAATTTGAGATTGAAATTAGTGAAAAATGAGAAAACAACACAAATCATAAAAGCCTGCTTACGGATATAGCAGAAAGCTTTCCAAGTATCAGGAAAGAATCAGACAGATAAGTAAGGTCTATAAAATCCCAAATAGCTACGATCAGAAAAGAACCTCTCCATAACACATCATAGTCAAAATCCCAGAAGTCCAACACAAGGACAGAATCGTAAAAGTTGTTGGAGGAAAGCAACAAATTAGCTACAAAGGCGAACCCTTAGCATTACAGCAGACTTCTCAATGCATAACCTAAAGGCCAGAAGAGATTGAAGCATTTCAAACTCTAAAAGAAAAAGCTTCCAACCCACACTGATACACCCTGCAAAACTGTCTTTCAAAACCGACGGAAAAATAACGTCTTTCCATGACAAACAGCACCTCAAGAAACCAAAGAATTCTCAAAAATGTCCTACAAAGAGACAATGAAGGTACCAACGCCAAAAGGACTAACAGAGTGAGTACACCAGGGAGGGGCAGCACTTCAGCAAAAGCAATAGAAAATACCACAATGAGAGGAAGATGCCGATACCGTTCAGTAATAACTCTCAGTGTGAACGATCTCAATTCCCTGTCAAAGACACAGACTGGCAGAATGGATCAAGAAACCAGAACCCATTGGTATGCTGTACACAAGAGAAATGTTTAACCCAAAGAGAAATTCATAGAGTAAAAGTTAAAGCAACGGGAGCCCCAAAGCAAACAGAAATGGCCACCCCCTTTTCAGACAAAGTGGACTTCAGGCCAAAACTGATCAGAAGAGGCAAAGGTCACCACAGGTTGGTTAAAGAAACAATCCAACAGGAAGAGGTAACAATTAAAAACATATATGCACTGTACACCGGCATACCCACCTTCATAAGACAAATACTACGGAATGTAAAAGATCAGATAAACAATACAAATATAGTGGGGGACCTCAATACCACACTGGCAGAAACAGATCAACTAGATTAAAAAAATCAACAAAGAAATATCAGAGCTGAACCAAACCTTGGAACAAATGGACTTAACAGATATCTAAGAGTGTCCCACCCAACCACAGAATACACATTCTCCTCAGCAGCACATGGGACCTTCTCCAAAACACACCACACACTGGCCGATGAAGCATGCTTAAGACAGTAAAAAATGAATCAAAATTACCCATGCACATTTGATAATATGTGCAGTGCAGTGCAACTAAAAAAATCAATGGCAAAAGAAGCCACAGAAATACGGGAATTAAATAATATACTCTCAGTCAGCAGGTCACAGAAAAAAATCAAGGAAGGAATTAATTGCTACAATTGAACAATAA